AAGAGCAGCACCTACTGCTTTGTGCATATGCCCTATTTTACCTCGAGACAGCAGCTCCCAAGGCCTCAGCACTTTGATCCTTGCAGAAGAGATAAAGAGCCCACATTGGCAGCGATGAGCCTTCTCCCCCCACTGCCCCCGGACAGATGTGCCTTCTATTCACCCCGCCACTGGGGTTCTGGGTGACTGACTCGGTGACACTGCTGAGCCCAGAGGGCATGTTTGAGTTTGTGCTCAGTGCCGGGAGCATGCCCAGCACTCCATCCTGACAGGTGGAGGAAGAGGAAGCTGGAAACTTGAACTTTTGCAACAACAATAGCTTCTGTTTCTCTCAGCCTCTTAAACACTTACCCCAGCCCTGTCCCAATATGTCACTGTTTAACTGCAGAGTGGGGGACACTCTCAGATGTGCTCACCCTCTTGGGAACTGCCCTCTGCTTTGCAGAAGAAGAGGGGAAGAAAACCATCCCAACTGAACAATATCTTGGAACATGAAAGCACAATCCCCGCTAGATTTTCCTGCCAGGAAAGGATCTGCTTGGACAGGAGGACACAGCGAGCTGCTCGAAACCCTTTGATGTGGCTGCTGTATTCTTGGAGAGAGCTCAAGGCTGTTTTTCACCCCTCACCATGTTTGCAGGGCCAGAAACACACCTTGGTGCTCAGTGAAAAGGGAAGGGAAGGGAAGGGAAGGGAAGGGAAGGGAAGGGAAGGGAAGGGAAGGGAAGGGAAGGGGACATTTCTTTGCAGCTCTCAAGGCAGGAAAGCTGCTCCCAGGACATGGGGGATCGAATCCTGGTAACCCTAACCCTGACAGCACAAACAGGCCATGTAGAGAGGCCAGTGGCCCAAAAGAAACTCCTGGAAATAAATTTTCAAAATCAAAGGGAATATTAATATAAATATAATTATAAATCCAAGTTTCAGGAGGTAAAGTAAACTCCAAGAGGACAGCAGGTCTGGGGGCACAGAGGGTGGGCAAAATCACCATGGGTGAGAGCACACAGAACAGGGAAAGTCAAAGAGGTACAACCCAGGCATGAAAAGGCTAATACAGACATGTGAGTAGCTGTAGCTTCCCCGTGCCTGTAAGTGCTTAAAACCAGGTTGGACGGGGCTTGGAGCAACCTGGATTATTGGAAGATGTCCCTGCCCATAGCAGGGGGCTGAAGTGGATGAGCTTCAGGATCCCCTCCAACCCAAATCGGTGATTCAACAGTTGGCATCACCAGGCTTGGAAGAGAATGTGAAACCTTACATGGAGTAGTCCAAATTCAGTTGCCCCAGTGCAACAGCTGAGCTGTATGCCAGAAAAATACCCTGCCAGCCTGCTCTGGTAGAGGCCAGCAGCCTAAGTGGGAAATGAATCATCATTGTTTGCAGAGGAATTTGAGCATAATACAATAACTTCTGACAATCTGTTTCCACTGGAGGTGGCATGGATTACCTGCTCAACTTACTCTGCACAGGTCTGAACTCAAGTGTCAGACTTCCTCATATCCACCAACATTCACAGTTTATGTGCTGTGTAAGCAAGCACTCAGCAAGTTTTTAACTTGCTGCCTGACATCTTCCAAGATGTCCCTTAACTCCTGAGCTTTGAGGTAAGTGGAATAATTGCTTCCCTGGTTGTACAGGCCACATCCCTGCTGGTGGACTGCTTCTCCTCCAAACCCAGAGCTTCACAGAAGGCTGTCCCTGCACTCAGCCCTGCTGATAAACATCTCCACTAACTGGAATTAACCGTTTGATGGTTCCCAGACATACAGAAACACCCACACATCCAGGTGTGTTGGTATCTGCTTCTACAGAGAGGGATCTGGGATTTAGGGGCTTTAAAGCTGTTTTGGAAAGAAGCATGAGATCTCCTGTCTCCCATGGCTGGCTTGGCACCGACTGCAGAGACACTGCTCTGTGACTCTGTGCAAACTCAAACAATCCTGGGAGGCCAAAATACACCAAGAAGCAGATGAAAAAGGGCAGTTTTGCAGCTACCTAGTACAGGAAAGCACAGCACACACAATACTTAATTGACAATATAAAGAAATCTGGGCTGTTGTATCTGCTCTGAATTCCTGAAGCCACAGGCCAAATCAAACTCAATAACCAGTAACAAAACTTCCACTGAAACTCAGTCTTGGATAATTTGGTCATTTAGGAGAAAAGATTAAAGGGGACATTTACATGATAAACGTCCTTTTATCCTAAAAGCTCTAGGTGTCTGTAACTCAGATACACACAGACAAATGCAGGCTCAACATCATATAAATATGGAGCAATGGAAATAAATGGAATTATAAATCATCTCCCAATCCTGTTTCCAACCTGCCCTCACTACCACTACTGAAGACATGTTCAGGACTGAGATAAGGTACATGATGGCCAGAGGCCATAATGCTCCAGGAGCCAAAGATATGACTCTTCTGCTCACCCTGCAAAGCATTCAGGCATCCCTCAAGGCTCAGTCATGACACTCACAACTATTCTGTGAGAGAAGATGCTTCAACAGGTAACATGGGATACCAGTCCCATAAGTCTTTCAATGATCTGATGTTCCAGGTAAGCAAAGCCTGACTCACAGCAGAGGGATTTTTTACCCAGTCTCTGAATTCAAAGGCAGTCTCTGAATTCTTTAACAAACCCTTGAGCCAGGAAGCAAACAAAAGGTGTCACTGTAACCCCAGTCCACCCCCCAAACTGGAGAGAATTGAAAGGGTTACAGTTGGGAGAGACCTTAAAGTTCATCTTGTTCCTACTCCCTCCCATGGGCAGAAACACCTTCCACCAGACCAGTTGTTCCAAGCCCTGTCCAATCTGGCCTTGAACACTTACAGGGACAGAGATGGGGGAAGTCTTTCTCAATGAGCTGTGCTGCTTACAAACAAGGGAGAAGAGACAAGCACAGTCTGGAGGAAGCAAAACTGTGATGAGTCAGAGCCAGGATGAGTGGTGCAGCTTGAAAATGGAGAGATCACTACATTGGGGAATCAAGCCTAACTTAGCTGTTTTTGCATCTCTTCCACCTAAAAAATGAGGAGAGGGAGAGCAGACTCAGCTGCAGCAACTCACATGGAGCTTTCTGCCCCACTGCCATGTCTGTCTGGATCCCTGTGGGAGCAGGAGAGCACCTGGTCAGCTCCAGATCTCATTACCACACAGATCTGAGTGGCTGCCTGCTGCTAGGAATGAAGCTGATAACAGCTGTCTGACACATGCTCTGTGTCTCCATGAGTCACACTTGCACAGGGCTGAGGAAAACACTGCTCCATCATAGTTATCTGGTGAGAAAACTGCTCAAAGCCTGTGCTTTTGGGGTGGCTCACTAAGAAACAAAGCTGGAAGACAAAGAACCAATATCAATACTGAATATCAACACAAGTGGGATTGAGGTGGGCATGTTTTATGCCTTTGCTCCTTGCTTTCCCTCCAAATGCACAGAACATCTGAGGCTGAGGGAAATTATCTACATTAATTAGGCATTATATTTTGTGCTGGCTAACAGCATGAAGGGCTTGGAGGCAAGAGCTGGTTTGCCACATGCTCCAAAGAGGATGCTCTCAGAAGTTAGGACGTTCTTTCAGCTCAATGAAGAATTCAGCCTCGTTCCCTGCATTGAAAAAGTGCTTAAAGATGAGAAAACTTGGCTAGAAGCTCAGAGGAGCCCAATGGTAGAGACAAGCCTACAGCAGAGGGGCTGGATTCAGCCTGTGGATATGCATTCTTCCCACAGCAAGACAAATGTGTATTCCAGTGAGGTCTGTCTGTTATGCCCGAAAGGCCTGCTCCTTCACTGCTTGGAATAATCACAGAATCATGGGATGGTTTGGGTTGGGAGTAACCTTAAAGTTCAGCTAGTTCTAACCCACTCTGCCATGGGAAAGACCTTCCACTAGACCTTGTTGCTCCAAGGGCTGTCCAACCTGGCCTTGAACACTTCCAGGGATGGGCAGCCACAGTTTCTCTGACCAGCCTGTGCCAGGGACTCACAAACCTCACAGAAGAACTTCTTCCCAATATCTCATCTAACTCTGCCCTCCATCAGTTTGAAGCCATCCCCCCTTGTCATGTCACTCCATGCCCTTGAGTCCCTCTTCAGCTGTCATGGAGCTCCTTTAGACACCGGCAGGGGCTTCAAGGTCTCTCTGGAGCTTTCTTCAGGTAAACACACCAGCTCTCTCAGCCTGTCTTCAGAGCAGAGGGGCTCCAGCCCTTGAAGCATCTCCATGGCCGCCTCTGGGCTCACTCCAGCAGCTCCAAAGCCTTCTTATGATGAGGACCCCTAAGCTAGAATCAGTACTTTAGGCAGGATCTCATGATCTTCTTGGTACCTCCCACCCCCTCTCACATGGCTGTTTTCTACACTTCAGACTAAAAGATTTATTTCCTAGTAACTGTATTCTGATGTTTTCATGTGCAGAGAGGGCCATGAGCAGCTGTCAGCTGAAGAAGGCACTTGGGAAAGATCAGCACTCCACTTCAAACAAGCCTGAAGCTGTGTAAGAAACACCAGCACAGCCTCCCCTCTCCTGACAGCCCAGGGGACAGCGCAGGCAGAGAACAGCAGTGTGGTGAGAGGACAGGTCATGTTCCATGGATGGTTGCCCAGCTGGATTGTCACACTCCCACCCTGTCAAAGCTCAGTTTGGACTTTACCCCTTGCAGGTGGAGAGAGCATTGAAGATGAGACTGTGTCTCCTCTGTCAGGTCTGCAGTAGCTCTGGCAGTCCTAGTCTGTGGAATCTTCTTGTAAAGAGATTAATGGAATCAGAGTGGTTGTGGTGGGAAGCAACTTCTGGAGATCATCTTGTCCAGCCTTCTCCTTCAGCAGGTTCACCCAGAGCAGGTTGCACGAGACTGTGTTCAAGTGGGGTTTGAATATCCCCAAGGAGGAAGATTCCACAGACTCTCTGGGCAGGCTATTCCAGTGCCCTGTCACACTCACAGTACAAGGCTCTTTCTCATAATGAGATGGAACTTCCTGTGCACCAGTTTCTCCTGATGCCTCTTGTCACATTGCTGGGCACTACTGAGCAGCACCTGGTCAATCCTCTGACAACCTCTCTTCAGACACTGACAGACAAGGATGAATTCCCCTCTCAGATCATCTCTCCTTGAGGCTGAATGACCCCATCTCCCCCAGCCTTTCCTCGTAAGAGGGATGCTCCAGTCTCCTCATCATGTTTGAGGCTGAAACTGCCTGCAGCAGGGTGAGTCAGTAGTTTTCACCATTCATGCTTTTCGCACAAGCAAAAAGCATGTACCAAGCAGAGTCAGGCACAGAGTTTCACACAGTGGGAGGACTGCCAGCCCCACAGGGAACAGGATTGGAAGGCCCTGGAGAGCGTTTGCAGAGGGATCTGGACAGGCTGGCTTGATGAGTTGAGGCCACTGTATGAGGCTCAGTACGGTCAAGTGCTGGGTCCTGCACCTGGGTCACCACAACCCTGTGCAGATATACAGGCTGGGATCAGAGTGGCTGAAAAGCACCAAGCAGCAAAGGCCCTGGAGAGCTGGCTGACAGCAGCTGAACATAAGCCAGGTGTGCCCAAATAGGCAAGAATACACATGGTACCCTGACTCGTATCAGCTAGTGTGCCCAGCAAGCCCAAGGCAGATCCTTGTTCCCTTGCACTGGGCATGGATTAGGTACCTCAAATCCTGTGTGCAGTGCTAGGCTTCTCATGACCAGAAAGACTCTGAGGTGCTGGAGTGTGTCCAGAGAAGGGTCTGGACCAAAGGGGCTGACGAAGAGTGGCTGAGGAGTTGGGGAGATTCAGCCTGGAGAAAAGGAGGCTCAGGGGGACCTTCTCACTCTGTACAACTCTCTGAAACGAGGGTGTAGCCAGGTGGGGGTCAGGCTATTCTCACAGGTAACAAGTGACTGGATGAGAGGAAACAGCCTCAAGTTCTGCTATGGGAGATTTAGGTTGGATGTTTTGGAAAATTTCTTCATGGAAAGGTCGTCAAGCCCTGGCACAGGCTGTTCAGGGCAGAGGTGGAGCCCTCATCCTTGGAGGGATTTAACAGACATACAGATGTGGCATTTGGAGACATGGTTTAGTGGTGGGCTCGGCAGTGCTGGGGGAATGGTTGGACTCAATGATCTCAGAGGGCTTTTCCAACCCAAATGATTCTGTAATTCTGTGACACAGTACAGAAACAAAGGGAGAAGCTGTAGACGTGCAGCCCAGCAGGATGGTGTACAGCCACCAGCCCTGCCCTGACCAGCTGGAGCACAGAGCATGCCTCTTGCTGCTCTGCCTGACCAGGCTCACAAATCACCCAGACATCCCTAAACAGCAGCTTCCTGCAATTACAAGCAGCAGAACACATGTGCCAATTAGCTGCACACCAATATCCTCTTTGGCCCTTGATCTAGGCCAGATCTCAGCCCTGGGGTGCAGTAGAGCCAGGCTGCCTCATCCAAGATCCTGGAAACTGGATGGAACATCCCCTGGCTGCAGGCCAAGAGGGCTCTCCTCTCCCACTCCTACCTTTTCTTTGCTTCTACACAGGGACAGCAGGTCCCACCTCCCCAGGTGCCTGTGCTGGGTGGGAGATCACAGCCAGAAACAGAAACACGTGTGGTGCACACAGGAGAGCAGCAATGTCTCTTCCCATCCTTCACAAGCCACCAGGCTGCCAAAAAGTCTGAACTCCATGCTGGCTAAGGGCAGCACTTGGCACCAGGGAGACCTCTGGTATTCTGAGAGAGACCAGGTAGGAGTGCCAGGACCTGTTCAAGAAGCAGCTCCAAGGTTCTCACACTTCCCACTTTAGGGGAGACCTGCTTTCCTCCCACAGTCCCAGACCTTGTCCCCAGCACTGGGTATAGCAATTGGTCAGTGACAGGGCACTGCTGCTCACAAACCATCCTGGCAACCTTCGGGTCTCCCCCCGGAGGTTTGGCTGCAGAAACATGTCTCCTGGGGATTAGTCACATGCTGAGCCTGAGAAACTGGCTCTTTGTTACCTCCTCAGGGAATGTAACACTGCCAGATGCACCTGAAAGGTGCCATGGAACCACCCCAATGGGGCAGGCACAACCAACTGTGACAAAATGCCTGCTGTCCTGGGACAGGAGCTCTGGAGATGCTCCACTCCCTAACAGCTATATCCTTGGTCACCCAACCAGTCACTTCCCTGGCTTCCTTGGGTGGGTGGAGCTCTCTCCTCTGCTCCTTGTGGAACAAAAGGTCCCTGGAGAACTCCTGGTTCAGGTTGAGGAACCCACAAGGGCTGTTTGTTCAGAGACAGACCCCAACAAATGAGCCTCTGCAGGGTGCTGCTCCCAGGGGTACGTCCACATCTGCACAGTATGGCCTCACACAGTCTCTCTCAGCACTAGGATCTGTGATCCACCTCCTGCTCAACAAGTAATGGTGCTCCCCATCTCTCCCCACCCACTCTGGATCTGAGAGGGTGAAGGGAGCACGCCATGGGGGCTGGGAGCAGCCAGCCCCTTCCTTCCCCATGTGCTGACAGGGTTTTCCTGCCCTCCCAACCCTTGGCACACTGCTCTCATGTCTCAGAACCCTGCTCACCTGTTGACTTCTGAAACGCTGTTAATCCTTGCAGCTTCCAGAAGAGCATCCTCTGAAATGCAGAAAGAAGGAAGAGGGAGTTAGCATGGAGGGCACACATGGACATCCTAACCTGGAATGTGCAGGGGCTGCTGCTGCTCAGAGCTCTCACTGACCACCCCAGTAAATGAGAGCCTATTCCTGAGAGCAGGTTACCTAAAAACTCCTTGCCGTCTTGGTGACTGACTCCAGCCCCACATCACACACCCTGAGGACAGGGGGCTGCGGGAGCCGCAGGCATCTCAGGGCAGTGGACACTGTCACCCCAAGGTGTCAGCCTCAGCCAGAGGTTTCCAGATACCACAGTAGTGTTCCTATCACAGAGTCAGAATGACACCCCCTGGCTAGAGAAGGGAAGAGCAGCACCCAGCTCTGAGAGATGGGATGAGAGCTGGCTTGAGTTGGGAGGGACCTTAAAGCTTATCTCATTCTACCTCTCTGCCATAAGAAGGGACTCCTTCTACCAGATCACACTGCTCCCAGCCTTGTCCAACGGGTCCATGAACACTTCCAAGAGATAGGGCAGCCACAGCTTCTCTGGGCAACCTGTGCCAGGGCTTCACCAAACCTCACAGGCAAGAATTTCTTCCCAATATTCTGTCAAAGCCTGTCCTCAGGATTAGAAGAAGCCAGTCAGTGGGAAGCCATTCCTCCTTATCCTGTCTCTCCAGACCCATGTCTCTTTAGCTCTCTTGGAGCCCCTTTATGCACTAAAGCATTAAGGATAACCTTTTCCCTGGAGAGTTTTCCAGGTCACAGCCAGCAGGCAGGTTCCATCCCCAAGGAGGGACTCTACATCCCCTCCCAAAGGGCACAGGATTCTCTCTCCTGCAGCCCACTCCTCCCGCCCCGGGGCCGGTCCCAGCAGCGATAGTCACCCTTGGACAGACGGTCCCGAAGGTAGCAGTAAGCCAGCGCAGTGATGAGGGCAGGCAGCCCTGCTCCCGGGGAGCAGCTCCCAGCTCCACTCTGGTGCCCACCGGGGTCTCCCGCATGACAGCAGTGCTGCTCTGCACCCGAAGGCCATGGCGTCGGCTCTCTGAGGGATGCCATGAGGCTGGACGGTGTTCCCGGCACAAGGCAGCCAGCGCTGGCCAGGCCGGTGGCAGGTGGCCGGGGCGTCTGCAGTGGGGCCAGGCCTGGAGGAGGCAGCCCTGGCCTCTCCGCTATGGCTGGCCCCTTTAGGCCTATCCCATTAACCACGGGAGAGCCCCCTGGGCCTGGCCCCATTGCTGAAGCGGGGCCTGGCGGAACAGGTAGCGGAGAGCCCCCGGGGGCCGGCCCCGCTAGCGGGGGTTCCCCCAGCGGGCCCCTCTGTCGCCCCCTGCAGACAGCGATCCACCACGGCAGCCTCGCTCTTGGCG